CAGAAAAGTTATAGGTCTTTAGGCTGCTTATGAGTGCTGCTATGTGGTATCTGCCTCTAGAGACCTACTAGCACCTACACTCTCTGGTGTCTCCCCTATTTATTAGTCTTGCCTGCCACATCTTGATGTTAAAATGAGTAGGGGAAGCTGCACAGGGCAAGGCATGCTTTTGAAGAGGTAGGCACTGTCTGGTCCAAGGTTCTCCCCCAGCCTCATCCCAATTTTATTCTCTCTGAGCCTTCTAGCTTGGGGACTACTGTTTAGGTCCGCAAACTCCTGAGCCAGCTTTGGTTAAGGCCCAGGTTTCAGACCCTGCAATATCTGTCACACAGGGTGTCAACTCCTGTTTTTCTCCTGCCAGATTCCTGCCTTTTAGTCCAGACAATCTGAGCCTCAGTCAGCCACAGAACATACTCTAGTTCTTATCCTCTGTACACACAGTGGAATTGTAAGTTCAGGATGTCCCCAGTTATCCCCTTTCAGTGGTCTCTGCCGCCCCTGCAACCACAATCTGGCCCTCCGAGAAAAATGAAAACCACAAAATACAAGCACCAGCTCAAAGAAATGTCCCCATGGTCTTCACCACACCCCTTGGTGATGGGCTCCAAGCAGAAAGTGCCCAGGGTACTTAGGTTGCTCCCTATACAGGTCCCCAGCTTCCCTTTATTCATTGCTACAGTCCTCTCACTACAGTCTGGGCTGGGGTCCTCATCCCTCCCAGACAAGGTTCTGTCTTCTGTGGCTTCCACAGCCAGACTACCCTTTCCTGGTCTAAGGCTTGAGCTTATGCAGGGCTCTCTGGGTCACATAACCCCTCTATTTCTAACTCCTGGATCATCAGGCTCTGACTGCACCTAGACCCACTGGCCATCATGCTTCAAGCTCCCCTGCCTATGAGTTTGCCTCTGGCATCACCACTGGGTCACAGGCAGAAAACACACAAACATGAAGTGGAAGGAAGTGGTGTGGGGGAATGGTGGGAATCAGAATCACAGAACAAGGAAACAATGGGGAAGGGACCTCAGTCAGAGAAAGGATGCACTGGCAGACAGAAAAAGGTAAGAGAGGAAAAGGTGGAGGGGGTCGAAGGAGGGGAAAAGGGGAAGGTACCCCTGGATCCCTTTCTCCCATTCTTGTAACAGGGTAGGGACCCTGTTACAAAGTCATAAGCCACAACAGAACCATGTGTTTGTGAAGAAGTATGGAAATCTGTGGGGCTACATGTTAATGTCAATGCAACCTTTAGGGAAATAAGGACACTCTCCTCATTCCCCATCTTTTAAAATAGCTTGTTAAAATATTTCTCCTAAAAACAACATATTAACCAACTCTTCCTAAATAATTGATTTATCTGATACATTTTCTTATTTGAAGTATAAATGAGAATCTAGCTCCCTAGTTTGCTAACTTAGGACATTTTTCATGAACCCCCCAAAAAAGTAGCTATAGCAGGATACAAGAAAAAGAATATGTTATTTTTGTTCTCATCTTTTCATCATCTTTTCTGTTTAGTCTCCGGCATAAAATAAAATCAACTTACAAAAGTCAAGTTCGCTATGTTGTGTCTGAGCTGGGCCTAGAAGAGGGCTTGGGGAAAAAATGGCAGTACTATCTTTGCACTTTTCCTGTCACTCCGACCCCTTGTGGGAGCTCAAGAAGTCTTCAGATGCTCAGCCATCATCCAGCACCCATGTGCTTTGGGGATTTTTTTGTAGGGGCCTGGAAGATATATTTTTTTCTTCTTCTGAATGGTACTGGCTTTGGAGATCGAGGTACTGGCTTTGGAGATAGGGTCATACTCTTCCTCTATAACATTAAGACTTTGGCCACAGCTAAGACTGTGAGTTTTTGACTGACCTGCCCTTATATTTGACTTCACAGCTGAAGTAAGGGAATCTCTGCCACCTCGTTCCCACAGACAATCAGTAAGAAGACAAAACAACAAAAAGATTTGTTATAAAACTTGACCATAAGTTTGAAGACATCTGGCTACTATTCTAGTCCCTTGAATAGTCCTGGTGGTCTTTTCAGAGATCAGCTTTCCTATTGATTCTGCTAGTCCTCATTGCTAGACCTGGACTTCTCCAAAACCTGACAAAATCCAAAGACCCTAGCTACCTCACTGATATCCCTTAAAATACCTCTAAGCTAGTCTCCTTCCCCCATCAGTATTGTCTTTATTCCTTATGAGTCTCACTTCCTCAGCCTGATGAAGGGTTTTTAAACCCCAAAGCTTGCTAAACATTTTTTTTCCAACTATTGAATTTGGTCTAATAAAAGATATCAGATTTACCCAAATAATCTTGTCTGCCTCAGAATCCTCTAGAAATGTATCTCCCTAGGACATCTGGCATCCCTCTGGCTGATGGGCCATTTCTCTCAGATGCCTTCACTGTTGTACAGCTATCTTTTCCACTACAAGCAGACAATAAATTGGGTGCCTATCTCACCAGTGGCTCTTTGTGTCTGTGATTGGGACAGCAATTGTTTCTGGCCTCACAGTACTATGGTCAAAGATATTTAGCAGTTACGCCTACTCTCCTTTCCTAAGTATTCAGCCCTAAGTTCCTTTGATTGAACCATGATCAAAATCATAAAAGAAATGTATAGACAATGTAACATAATCCATACAGAGATAAAAGTGACAGCAATGGATACAGTATAATATGGGCTTTTCAAGGAGACAGTGTACACTGTATCAGTACAACAAATTCAAGAAAATCTGCATGACCCCCCACAAGCCTCCCACTCAAGATTTGATAGGGTTTATGACATGCATTAAAATATATAGATATGTATTTAGAGGTGTATTTATAATACACCTGGATAAAGAGTCTTACTCTTCTCACAAAAACTGAAGTCAGTAAGAAATTATTGTCCTAGATCAAACTGACAAAGACTTTGAATGTTTTTTGTTTTCTTCTATAGCATGAGGCATTGTCATTTTCCTGGAATTCTCTGAGCATATATTAACCAATTATTTCCCTGGTCCTGCAGGTAAAGGATGTTGGTGGTGTCCTTTTCTTCTCTGTTTTCTTTTGGCATATTTTAGGGTGTTCCCAGTATTTACTTATGATTGTGGTTGTGTGTGTGTGTGTGTTCAAAGTGGTGATTTTCAAGCATCCTTGCACAAGTGGTTGCCAGCAAATGCAAGAGAGTGGACTGTATGGCCCTAAATACCCTTTCCAATTCCTATATCTCTATGACTCAGTACTTTTAGCACAGAATGGTTTTAGTATGGGAATATTATGCCTATGTCCTCTAAACCCAAGACAGTCCTTGCCCTGGAGAGTTCCTGCCAGAGGGTAACTCATACAGATGCACACAACGACATTCATTCTTGGCTTGCTGGGGATACCCCCTACATTTGGTGCTGGGTCTGAACCATTTATAATGAAAGAGCTAGTATTAAGGGCTGCAGTGTGATAGTGAACTTTGTCCACTGTGAATACATTTATTTTTTGTTGCATATGTGCTACTTTTATCTTTGCTGATGAAGTGAACTGTCTCTAAAATTAAAAAAACAAAACAAACATTCTCCACTGAAAAAAGAAGTGAATAAAATGAAATTATGATGCTAAGGCTGTTTTTTATCTTTATTCATCCATGATAATAATTAATTTTAAAAAATGTTTGGAACATCACTAACTTCAAAGAAAATGTGACAAACCATGTAAAGGCACCCATTTGGAAACATATAAAACCCACTATGCACTTTTGGTTCAAACTCAAATTGAATATAAACTTTCTTGGATTAGAAAAGGTTCAGTTAGTTTCATAGATGAGCTAAAAAATCCAGTGCATCCATGCCTGATTTCAGATTGAACTGGAAGTAGAAATACCAGCATGGTAATTCTCATGGAGTTTCTGAACCAGATGAATCTGGTATATATAGAAAAGACCACAAGATGTCCAGCCTGAGTTATAGACTGAAGTTTAGATTGTTAGTTTGCTATCTAACCTACAGTAAAGGGCAGAAGTCATTCAGCTCTCCCTGGAGCTACCTGAGAGAAAGATGGTGACAATGGTCATATAGGCCCATTGCCTTCGAGAAAGGAAGGGAATAAGGGAGCAACTCTGATTCTCAGATTTCTGTCTCAGGGCTGTTCCTAGGAACCTTGTTTAATCAGTTTTCCTTGCTCAAGGCTGTGCCTAAAGTCATTGTCTAGCCCTTATCCTCCTTTTCTGCAGATTAAAACTGTTTATATTCCTATATGAAATATGAAGAATTCCACTTTTTCCTTCTCTCATCTCCATTTATTTATTAAACTCAGATTGATCCATCCTCTTTCAGTGCCCAGGCCTCACCCACTAACACAGCACCATTTGGAATGATTAATGTTTGATCAGTCCAATTGTGTTTTGATCCTACAGTCATAGGCTTCTTTAAGCTTCTGATTACAACAGGTTACATTTCTAAAGATGCTTGGTTTTATTTTAGATCCCCTAATTGAAAGAAACCCAGCAAGTTCATGAAATGTGTAAGCTCACTTTGTTACAGGTATTTCCATCAAGGTTCCAGGGCCTATGTTCTCCTGAGTTACATATCGGCAGATTAGAGTATATCCACCAAAGACAATGAAGTTATCCTTGAGTAAGATTTGTTATGTACAAGATGAGAATCAAGCCCTTGGTCTCTGTTTGTTACAGTCTTACTTCCATGTATGATTGAGATTTTATGAAAATTACAGTCCAATTTTTATTAAACTATATTCACCAAACTCACTTTAACTAACACCAGTATGGAAATATATCATAACTTTTGTCAGACCGATAAAATCTATTTTAAGTTCTTTGTAAAAGAAACAATATAAAAAGTCTGCTGTACTTGTAAAATATTTGGTTTGATATCTTTAGCTGATAAAATGGCCTATATCACATTGCTAATGTCTGTAGAATGCAGCTTACTGAAATAGATGGGAGTTCCTTAAAACAAGCTCTTAACACTTCAGTCTGTTCTGAATAATATAGCAACTGGTTTTCCATTCCCTTACCACTAGGTAACAGAAACCCGGACTGGTCCTCTTGGCTGCAGTAACTATGACAACCTAGATTCTGTCAGTTCTGTTCTGGTTCAGAGTCCTGAAAATAAGATTCAGTTGCAAGGTACGTAGGTGCAATTTTGTTAATTTCTTATGGAATGGAATGACATTTATCAGGCTATTTGTTTTTCATTTCCCCCCCCCAATAAAAGGTCATTTTCCTAATTTTTTGACCCATAACTACATTCTAGACAAAGTAAAGGAAATGTCAGTAACTCATGTTGCATCTGAAATAGAAACAATATCTGTACTCATCAGAAATAATTTAAATAATGCAGTTAACATTTTACAGCTCTATTTAGCAATCGCTTATTCACTGTTTACCCAACTAAAAGTCCCAGAGATTTTACAAAGCAGACAGCACCACTTACACATGATTTTCCATATCTTATCGCTTCAAGTAATACCTATACTTTGAGTGGTACAAGATGCATGTGAAGAGGAATGGACAGGTTTTTAAAGGTATTTACAAGCCTAGTGCATTTTTAAAAACACCAAGGCAGTTTAGGCACCTGGCTCTCATTTTAATTAATACCCCCCCCCCGAATTAATTAAAAAAAAAACCCCAAAACACCTATATTGCTTAGGCAGTCTTACAAATCTCACTAGATCAGTGGTTCTTCAGGTTTGAGGTGCTCCTCAATAGACTCAAGGCACCCCTCAGTAGATTCAAGGTGCCCCTCCATAACTTTTGTGAATTGAGCAGCTCCCCATTTCAAAAACTGACAGTGCTTGTTGTGCTTACAGCCTTGTCAGGCAGTGAGGTCAGGGCAGTGGTCAGGCACCCATGAGCCTGAGCTTGCACTTGTCTGCTTGTCCCCTCATATCTGGCTTATCTCATCACACCTTGGAGCACCCTTCAAAGGATCTGGTGGCACCCCTGGTATCCCGACACTCTGGTTGAGAATCAGTGCATTAGATATGTATATTTATTTTTAGTTGCCCTCATCCTTTTTTGTCAAAACCACCTCAGAGGTACTACCTGTCATCATCATGGTGTGGCAGAATCTGTCCTTAACAACTTGTCAATACGAGAGGTGTAGTAGAGTCACATGTAAGGCTCTTTGTTATTGTTACTTAAATAAAACATATTCTACTTGCTTTATTATTACTCCTTCCATAGACCAAATTCTATTTGAGTAAACCCACTGATATCAGTAGGGTAATGAATGTGTGTAAAGAGAGAAGTATTTGGCTCATAATTTACAAATTAAGACTCTGGCTCTGCAAATACTTGCTGCTAAATGCTATATATGCAATTGTGAGTAGCACAACTGATTTCAATAGAGCTACTCATGTGCTCTCATTATGAAGTGTTTGCAGTATTGGGGCATAGGTGGGCTGATTATATGATTTTTTTTTTTTTCAGTTATCAACACACATTTTCAGAGACAGGTTAGCTCCTTGCTGATTATGCCAACATTCTTCTTTCCCTCCCCTCTGTCTCCCTCTGGATTTTTATGAGAAAACATAAAGGACAACATAGATTAAAATTCATATGATCTTGTCTGAATTTATAGACCTAAAAGATCTCAGAAGATAATCATGTAATTTTCATTGGAATTTACCCCTTCAGTGCGTTTTTTAAAATAATTTTGCCATTTTGACATGTTCTCCCAGCACTCACATAATATTTGTCAGTTGAACAGAAAATTAGTTATTATATCAATCTAAGATTTGACACGTGCCATTGGATTGTCATCACAACAAAAAATCATAATGCTAGGAGCTGCTTAAACTATGTAATACAGATATGTTGAACAAAGGGGTCAGGATTGCCTATGCAAATGTTCTTTTTATTTTGGAACTTCAAGGCTTTTCCTAAGTCTGTCAGTGTGCTTTTAAAGTAAGCTTGAGTCACAATTGTGTTTTACATGCTTTGACATGAGGCAGGTGAAACCCACAAAGAAAATTAACTTTAGTAATAGCATCAGTGCTTTTATTGTGGTAGGCTTTCTTTTTGTAAATTTTACAATATTGTTTTATTACATTTGCTATGTATTTGTGTATTTAAAAACAAAGGATAATATCTCCATGAACTGAAATGAGTGCCTATGGAATTGAGGCATATATAACAAATAATCTACCCTTACACTGAGAAGCAACTCTCTGTGTTATTCTAAAGGGATTTCATGGTGTTAGGTACTTTTTAATGTGAACTGAGTAGCACAATCTATCTCCATATCTTTGGCAAAAGATCAATATTTATAAGATGGCTGAATATATTTTTTCTTTGGTTTAATATTGTAGCTAGCATGACTGACAGGCATAACTAAATTAGAATGCTCTAATTACCATATAATCATGCTACTCACTGAGCTCATGCAAATAATACGCAAAATTATTGTAATAGTAGATTTTAATTTCTGGTCACAGAAGTTCTGAATAATTAAGGGTATCTTATTTGTATTTTTGACATGGTAGTGAAAATCCCTCTTGAATTTTCATTTTTTCCTAGGAAGGTGAGGGGGAGATGTTCAAAAGTACTTGAATTAGGAGCTCAGGGGGATATTTTCAAAGGTACAGTGGCAGCTAGCCTGGACCCCATATTTACAACTAGACTTTCAAATAAGAGTTAGGTGCCATTTGTACTTTTTGGAAATCTGTTCACACAATCCCACTGACTTCCAGTGGGACTTGTGCTCCTAAGTCACATAGACCCTTTTGAAATACAAACCTGCTGGGTGATATTCATTTAATGCTGATTCAATACCCATTGAACTCTATGGGAACCCTAGCCTGATGCATCAGTCAGAAGTGTGAGTACACAGCACTTCATAGCTTTAAAAGTCCAACAGCAAATCTCCTCTTTTATTTTGTTCAACATAATAAAATCATAATCCTTAATGAATAATCATAGATCTATTTTTGCACCATACTTAATGAAGCAAAAATAACAAACAACTATATTCAAAATAAATGAAACATTAACTTAAATTTGTTGCTGCTGTTGTTCAGAAAGTTTCCTCCTTGAATATTTTTCATTCTTTGCCATTAGTCTTCTTGGCATAATGAAAAAAAATAACTAGAATATATTGGACATATCTTGTTATGATAAAACAACAAGGACAAACATTCTAATAAAGAATGATAATGTTTTACTGCACACATTTTTTCCGGGTTATGGTTTTTTTTCTATTTTCCAGTGCTTCTAAAATTTACTAGTCAACTGTTGGTATCAAGACTGTAATTCAAATGCATGCTTCCCTAGAGCAAATCTCTTACAATTCTATTTATTTTAAAAAGTTCATGTAATCCTTTCCTTCTTATTTTTTGACAGTCTCTCCAGAAGGAAAGCACTCCAGTAAGCCTATCTGAAGAATTGAGGTTACTAGTTAGTAGAGTTGATATTCTGAAGTCAGAGGGAATGAGTTCAAACTTTGGGAAAGGAAAACATTGCATAGTTTAAATTCAGAAAAAATAGGTAAATTGGCATCAGCAGGCCACCTGGTTTCCTTCTGTATCTATGTGTTTCTTTGTTACTAGGATATGTAGATTGCTGAATTTAATCACCATCACTATTTGGCTCAACCATTCCTCATAATTTAATAAGATTATTCTTATTTTATTTCCTAAAGGTCTTCAGGTCATCCTGCCTGAATATCTTCAGGAGCGTTTTGTGCAAGCAGCTCTGAGCTATATTGCTTGCAATTCTGAGGGGGAATTTATCTGCAAGGACAATGATTGCTGGTGTCAGTGTGGCCCCAAATTCCCAGAATGCAACTGTCCATACATGGACATTCAAGCCATGGAAGAAAACCTGCTTCGCATAAGTGAGACCTGGAATGCTTACAACAGCGAATTTGAAGAGTCAGGTGTGATCTTTTAAAATAATTATTTGTGTTTTTGAACATCACAGCATTAACACTATAGAATGAGTAGTCTCTTAGAAGTCAGTGGGATTATTCATGTGCTTAATATTAAGCACATGCATAAGTGTTTTGCTGGATCTGGACCTTAATGATCATAACTCCTTGATCACAAAAGGATAAATATTGCTCCTGCTTTCAACAAATATGAAGAGCAGTTGAATTAGTTTAGTATTTAGGTAAGTTGTGGGGTTTGGAAATATTTATTTTTTGTATGCTATGGAATCACCTGTTCAAGGTCTATATTTTCCTGGTAATATGAAGGGGGTTAGAAGCTGTGGAGGCAGATCAGGATTGGCTGATTCACCATTACATGGATATTCTGCATCAGAAATATAGTAAAATGGAAGGAGTTGTCACACTCCACTTCTGGCCCAGTCTTAGGATTTCTCCTACACTTTCCTCCAAGTGGAAAATACTCCAGTGGAATACTCAGGTTGGCTACCTTGGACTGGATTTTCCCATAAATTAATTTGGAGTTAATGATTCATCCATGTCAGAATTGGCATTCCACTTGTTTTTCCTTGAAATCACATGTCTACTTAAACTGGATCAGTCCCAGGTAGTCCCTCACCATATTTTGTACCATGCTGACTTTCTTTGAAGCATCAAGGTTTGTTTCACACATCATTTCCCCACTTCCCATCCTCAGGACTTCTGGTCCCATAGAGGATGAGAACTGCAGGTAAAATTGGCTTCTGCACAACTGTTTTCACAACTCATTCACTCAGTAATATCAGTAACAGCTGTCTAGCCAGATGGCGGGAAAAGTAATGATAGCTCAGTGGAGCTGGAAAAAATCAGGAACAAAAAGAGATATGAGAGAGATGAGGAAGTAGTAGAAAATCAGGAATCATAGAATAAAATAAAATGTATAACAAAAAGATGTAGTTGGCAGGGGTGACAAGAAGTGCAGTAAAAAGGAGATAAAAGCAAGAACAACAGGAAAATATGGGGCGAGAGAGAGAGTAAACATTAAAATGCTAGAATGTAAATGAGAGTCATTTATATGCATTACATTTTCTGTATTCACTGTTGTATTGCAAAGTACTTTGATTTTTCTATGATCTGTCAGGATTAATCAAGTCTGGGATTTTCAAAGAAACATAAATCACTTTCAGTGGGGTGCCTAATTCTCTTAGAGCACCTTGAAAATTTTAATTTAGGTTTCTAGCATTTGTCTTGCACCTAAAATGAGTACATCAGCCTTTTGGTACCTTTGCTAGAGGATCAGGAAAAAACAAACAATGATTATATAAACATTCATTCATGCTTGTTTTGATATTTTTGTGTGCAGAAGCCACATTTTTTGCAATTATGACATTTTGCCACCTCCATACATTTCTGATGTCATGCTTTCACTTACAGCACTGTAAATCAATACAGTTGTATCATACCTGCTAAAAAGACATAGTTTTGCTTATCCATTTTTCACCCTGTGCAAATGGGGATGGTATTATTTAACGATTAAAGAATGTCAGATGAAGACATCCACTAATGGCAAGTCCATACATGTTACTATCTGAAAATATTTTGGGGTTCTATCCATCTGTAGCTATTGATCTACAGGTGTCTGTATTTATATCAAGCTTTTATTGTGAGGAGTATCTTGTTTCCTGGGGAACAAAGTTGATCAAACAGCTGAATAAGACAAGCTGATGCACAGTAACTTTTCTTTGGCTCCATCTCCAGTTCTCAGCTGCTAGTAGGGAGAGCAACACAGTTTGTTTAAATGAAATCCCACACAATTATATTCCATACTCCTGGATATTCTGCATCCTTTACCTCTGCAGCAATAATGCTCTTAGACATCATGAAGATGATGATATTTTCCTGAACAAAATAGATGTTTCTAAAGATTCTTATGCCCTACTGGAGACTTTCTTTGCTGATTTTATACATATATATATATATAAAGAGAGAGAGAGAGAGGGAGAGATGAATCCAACAATACACAAATTACCAATAACATCTAAAGGGCATAACACATTTCTATCAAATACATTGGCACTGTTTCACATCTAGGAGGACTTAGCTGAAGCTAGGTGGAACTAAATAAAATAAATATTTGCTTGCATGGAGAACAAACCACTTCGAAGCACTTCTAACAGCTTATAACATCTCTCTTCATTAAGGTTCTCTCTCTAAAGATTATTTTGACATTCTGCAGATTTTGCTACAACTTTTGACCACTTATGCATAGTCAGCAAGCCTACATGTGGCACAATGCCCCTTCTATCAATACCTAGAAGAAATTCAATTGGAAGAAATTCAGCAACCCATATAGTTGTGGGCTCTTTGGATATTTATACATGTGCTCCAGGAGGCCATGGGGAGGAGGGGGGGAGACGGCGCTTCAATTAGAGCAGCTCTGAGAGATACTCTAATTAAAGTTCCTGGAGCATCATGTGTATCAGCATCCCCACAGTGAAAAATGGCAGTGGGGGTGCTTTAGTTAAACAAGCTTTGGTTAAAACACCCCCACTGCCATTTTCCAGTGTGGGGACACTGATACACATGATGCTGAAGTCTGCTGGAATGTGGTAATTAATCATGCTCCAACACGCTGTAATTACAGCGCATCAGAACAGCCTCCCTGCATGTGTATAGGCACCCGTAGGTTTTAATTTTCTGTACCTGGGCCAAAAAGAAAAAAGAAAAGGAAATTGTCTGCAAGATAAGAAATAAGTAAAATTGATGCATTTATGAATCACATATTCTCACAGCACATTTCATAATATAATGCTAAGGAAAAAATTGATATACCAAAGGTGATCCATGCTTAAAAAATGGCTCTTCCAATATATTCAATTTTGGTATCAATTTACATAACATCAGTTTAAATTGTTATGATATTTTGGTCTTTGTTACCAGCATAAATATAATTTATAGTATCTCCATTAAATTACTTCCCTTTTTCCTAATATTTGTTTTAACAAATATAAACAATACATAATGGGAAGTGAGATATGATTTCCAAAGGCAGAATTAAAAGTAATCCTCAACTTTACATTTTCTATATTGTTTGAATAAAGAAGTCTATTGAAAAAAAAGGACAACATAGGTGAAATGTTGTTTTGTACCTGGTACTATTTTGTGTCATGGGGAGGATGATATGACATTTGACAAAAGATTTAGTCATACCCCATAGAACCTCCACTAACTGCATAATTGTATTACTATTAGAAAAGGTCTCCACATAGAAAAGTTACACAGAGTCTGTCAGCATCTTTCCAATGACATTGGTTATAATGAGATTTTATGAGTGTTATGAAATATTAAAGACATATTTGATACACATTAGTATCGCATTTCAACAAAAACTGTCATGAGGCAAGAAACTGTGTTACACAGTTTACATCTAATGTACATCTGGTAAATATGGACAATTCTGCAGTCCTTAGGCATGTCCCATTTAAATGAGTTTGTGAGCCTAATACGTTCATAGGCCTTTTATTTTTTCCCAAAAAACTTATAAGTTAAATGTAAAAGACTGACAAATAGTGGAATGGGAAGGAGAAAGAGGACATTTTTTCCAAGGTCATATGCTACATCTGTATCAGAATAACTAACAAAACTCAGTCTTGCTTATTTGTAGCAGGAACATGAGCCACTAGATAGCACAACCTCTTGCTTTCCTTCTGCACAGGAATGGTATTTTTGCTATTCTTGTCCAAATAGATGCAAATATATAAGGCAGAAGGCAGAGTAGAGGTACACCTTATGGTCTAACTGTAAATTTAGTGTGTTAATTTTCTGGCCATTTTTACTTTCCATTTTCTTTCCTTACCTTAAATATGTAAGAAATGCATCTTCAAATGAAGAGACAAATTATGCTATCAGATCTGTTGATCCTGTTGAGTTTCACCAAGGTCTTATACATGTATTTGGAGTCAGAATTTGTCCTAAAGAAAGCAGAATGTAAACTTTTTATAAGATGTTGTATTCAGTGTCTAAATTATGTCTTCTCTGTTGGTTTCAGATAAAATAACTGTGGGGTAGATTTTCAAAAGCAGAAATGGCAGTTCAGCACTAACTTCCATTTGAAATCTTTGGGTGTTTAACTTCTTTATATTAAATCTTCCCCTAGCTCTCCAGTAATGGGGAGAAATGTTTTAAGAATGTTTTCTCAGTCCTACTACACTCCCTTTGTCCCTGTCTCCCCCACTAAAAAAAGAAGAGATATATACATTTCCTTTCTAGATAGATTCCGAAGGCCTGGTTTGTAAAGATGCACACATTGACATATGTGTAGAGTTAAAGACCAAATCTGTTGCAAATATTGTAACTGCAAATACACACATTTATACTACATAACACACCCATTGAATGTATAAAAACCCAGCCGGTACACAGAGTCATGTTAAATGCACACAAAAGTAGATAAGCAAATATTACGCATATAACTGTATACTTGGGCTAGAGACATTACATATAAACCAGTATAAATATTTGGAAACTGGTTCAAGTCCATAACACAAGAGAAGTTCAGAGCATATCAACTGCTTTCAAAATGGCCAAAACTGGTTTAAGATAAACCTGGGTGGATATAGCATCAGACTTAACTGATTTAGGTTAAATCGGTTTATTGCATTTCTGTCCCAAATCCCCTCCAGATTCAATTTCACTGACAGTCCCCCAGCATCCCAGGATGCTTTGCACCTTTTCTGCAAACTGTCCCTCACAGAGCAGGCAGGCTAGCCTTGGCCCAAACTAGCTCTCCTGCTGAGCAGGAAGGCATTCTCTACTGCCCCCTGGCTTTTGGCTTGAGTTACTGCAGGCATGTGGCTTCATTTCTGGGATGAAAAGTAAATGTCTGTTCACTTACTTTTTGGTTCAATCTACACAGTTTAGACTAATCTGTGACGATTGAATTAACTTAGCCTTCGGCTTTTTGACTGACTGTATTTAGCCATATACAAATATAACTCATTTCCAGAAAAAGT